GACGAGGACCCTTCTGGAACCCGCCATGTCTGTGTCTGTTCAGTTCAGTTCACTGCAGAACCAGGTGTCAATGCCACCCGCCACAAACAACAGAAATGCTCACGCTTCGATCTCCAAATCATTCTGCGCCGCCAGAATCAAGCCGAATATGGGGCTGGGCAGGGTCCCACTTCTCCTCCCACAAGCTGTCAGCAAAAATCAAGGAGCGCTTCTGGCTCAGCACCCAATTAAATCTGAACCCCCTTTTGCGATGCACGGATGAGGATCAGGAGGTCAGAGGGGAACGGCGAGCAATGCCTGTCTGTGTCTGGGTGTCCGAATCTCTGTCTCCCCTCGCGAGTCCGGTGCGCACCTGCCACTTCGCATCCCCACCTCGGGCCTCCCGCGCCACGTGCGGCCACCGGTGCCGCAACAGAACAACGAGCGCATCCAGATCTCGCCCAGGACCGCCGTGTCGTGTTTGGCGCTCCAGAGAGGGCCTCGCCTTCGAGTAGTATCGAAGGAGTCGACAGCTCTTCCTCGGCGGAGGGCGGCGGAAGTGAAGTACGAGGCTAAGACTCCGCCGGCAAGAGCCGGGTCGAAGGCTGGCGGAAGCAAAGGTGTGCCCCACAGAGAGGCATCATTTCTGGGTTGGGGATTTCTGGAATCGTGTATCCAACTTCGTAGCAGTCAGGTGACCTGCGTGTATCCAGCTTCGTATCCAGAATCGCATCCAGCTTCGTATGCAGAATCGAGCATCGAGCTTCGTAGCAGTCAGGTGTGCTCTCCGAAGCCGTTTCTTAAAAAGCTCGCACCTTCAAGTCGGGGCCCAGGCCTAAAAAAAAGCGCCATGGCCCGTGCATGCCCATGCTCAATCTCGCAAGCAATCATGTCCGAATCACGGCTTACGACAGAAACAACTCCCTCTCTTTCTGCCTTCGCATTCCGCGCTGCGCAGAGTGCGAAGCGCGAGTGTCTTCGCTCCATCACACGGCCACCCTTGAGGGAGGGGCAACTCTGCGGCCCAGCCCTCCTCCGTTCCCCCGTCAATCCCCCTCCCAAGAAAACAAATATACTTCTCGTCACACCACCAGAAGTGGTGGTAGAGCGGACTGGGCGTTTCGTCAGGCACGCACTTCTACACCACTTGCGAAGCTGAAGCTTGATATGTCCAACAGCTACTCGGATGCAGGGCGGGTGGTTTTCGAAATACGCCTCTCGCCTAGGCGCCGAACACATTCGTGACTAAAAAGCTTCCAGAGATTAGACGGACGGGGGACGAGTGTATTTCAAAAGGGGCTCTCGCCTAAACGTCGTGCGCATTCGTTTGCACGGGTGGCTCGCCTGATCGCCCCGCACTTTCGCTTGCACGGGTGGAGGTGGGTCCGTTTTCGAATTGTGCCTCCGCAAAAGCCCCGCGCGCATTCGTCTCAAGAGCTTGCCACAACTACACGGGAAGGAGGCTCCTCTTGAAACAACGGGGCGCTCCTCAGGTGCAGCCAGGACCTCCCTTACCCCCCCACCCCCCCCAAAGCGGGGGGTCCTGTCCCACCTGCTGCTCCTCCAGCGCGGCCCGGGGGTCACCACTGGGGAAGTCGTCGCAATCTCAAGGAAACGGACCCCCATGGACACCACAGAGCCCCCAAGGACTCCCAAAGGCGCGTAAAGGCGCCCAACGAAGTCCCAGACCTCCTCGAATCCCTGATCGCCCCTCCCCCTCGATCCTCGATCTCCAGGAGGAGCTGGTGACCTCGCCGATGACTGGGGACCTCCCTCGGCACTGCCCGAGGTTTGGGGGATCCCTGGACGTTCTCTGGGGAAGCCTGGAGGCTGCTGGGAGGCACAACCCGGTTTCTGGGGGCAACAAGATGGCCAGGCGCTGCTAAAGCGGTATCCCTGGCCAAAGCCATTCCGAAGAATTCTTGGGCGGCCAAGAGGGGTTCCCCCCTGGGAGGCCACTGGCGAGGACGGGACCTGTAGATGAGATGGACAACAAACATACAATCCTTGACTCCGCTGCCCCTCTCCCGTCTCCCCCCAGATTCGAAATTGGTCTGAGGTATTCGGCGGCACAGGAATGAGAGGACAAACAACAATTGACCCCCCGTTGCTGCGCGAGGCCGGAGCCGATTTCAAATCTGGGGGAGAGGGGAACACACATCCAGTCAAACACGAAAGAGTTCAAATTTCAAATGGTGCGTCCACTTACTGGAGGTCGGTTGGGTCGCCAAAGAGGTTATGGGCGGCTTGTGAAGCTGGAGGAGCAAGATCGATGTAGAGGGACACGAACAGCACGAACACAAACTCTGGGAGGTCCGCATGGGTCTCGTGGGTCGGCGACGGCGCCTCTGGCGCCGCCCATGGCTCCCTTCGCGCGCCGGCGAGGGGCGCCTGGAGCCGATCCAAAAGGTCCGCGCGGACCTCCGAAAGCTCATGCTTTTTATTCGTTCTCCGGCCAGCACGGGTATCCGACAGCCTCTCTGCGGCTTGCACTAGTGAGCATCGTTTAACCGATCCCTATCCCAACGGGCGTGGCCTGGGCCACACTGGCCGACTTATCCCCCTAGATGGGGATATAGGCTGTTCCCTTCGAGTTTCGAGGGGCATATCCCCAAATGAGGCGGTGAGACGGTGGGGCTCGAGATGTAGATGGGGATGGGGATAGGGATCGGTTAAACGATACTGAACTGTGGCCTCCCTCCCTGCTCCTCGTGCGATGGGACGTCGTGCGGCAGCGTGTGCGTCCCCATAGCTCGCCCGGGCTGGCCGCGTCCCGTGTTTACCCATGTTCAATATTATCCTGGCGTTCCTGCCCCTCCCTTCCTGCTCCGTCCCCCGAGCTTCATTCACCTTCCCCCCATTGCTCCTCTGTTCTGTGTCCTCATGCACCTCCTCCTCTTCCTCCTCATCCTCCTCCTGCTCCTCCTCCTCCTCCTTACTCCTCATCCTTCTGTTCCCCGGCACTATCACCCTCCGCCTCCCCCTGCTCATGCTCGCCCGAGCATTCCCATTGCCGTTCCTGCTGCTCGTCCTCCCCTCTTGCCCCGCTCCTATCCTCGCCCTCGTGGGCGCCTCCCCAGCCCCGCTGCTGGCCCGCCTCCCCTTCCCCCCCTTCTCGACCGCCTCTGCTTCCTCATCCTCATGCTTCTCGTTCTCCGTCACCACGTTCTCTGGCACCGGGACCAGCAGCGTAGGCTCTGAAGAACGCGGCCTAATCCTCGTCACCCACACTCGGAAAGCCAAGACGAGGCAAAAGGCACAGTCCAAGAACTGATCTCGGCTCTTGAAGGTGGCCTCTCCCTCCTCGCTCGTATCTGGAAAGAACCGGCAAATCAGTTCGCTCAGCACGCCGGGCCGACGCGCGGTCGCCGTACGTGGTATTGGTCCAGAGCACGAAGGTCGGGGGTCGCGCTCGCGTCTGCGTCATGTACTTGACCGACGTCTTCTGGCCGTGCCTGGGGCACCGGGTGCCGATGGTGGGGGGGAAGCCTGAACTATCGGGGACACGTTGACCCGGGTCAGTGCAAGCCTGGGTCAGTCAGGCCTTGCAGGATCCTGCAAGATCCTGCAATCCCACCAGCCCTTTGGGCGTGAGTGGTTTAGAGAGCCCGCTCTGTCCTCAACCCCCCTTCTTCCCCTTCTGGGAGGGGTTTACCCCTCCCCCTACCCCCTCCCCCTGGGCCTGGAGAGGGCGGGCCGCGGGTGGTTGGAGGGGTCTTTTTCGACTCCTGGGAGGGCCAAAAAACGACGACCCTCACGAGGATTCTGGCCCCGACGGGGGGGCGCTAACAAAAACCCTCTCCTCTTCTGTGAAGCCAAAATCATTGATTTTACTACGGTTTCGGCCCCATTTTGGCCTTCTGAGGGGGCAGCGCTCCTCTTCCTTGTTCTCAAAATCATTGATTTTACGAAGGTTTTGGGCTCATTTTGTCTTTCTCAGGGGGTAGCGCTCATTTGCGCTTCTGTGGAGGTCGCAAGAGGCCCCCAAGAGGCCCCAAGATGCCCCCAGGAGGCTCCCCAGAGGCCTCCAAGAGGCCCCCAAGAGGCCCCCAAGAGGCCCCCAGAGGCTCCCAACAGGCCCCCAAGAGGCCCCCACGAGGCATACAGAGCCCCCAAGAGGCTCCCAAGAGGCCGACAAGAGTCCCCCAAGAGGCCCCCAAGAGGCCCCACGAGGAGCCCGAACGACTCACACCAGGACGAGGGGCCCGAACGACTCACACCACGAAGAGCCCGAACGACTCACACCACAAGGAGGGGCCCGAACAACTCATACCAGGACGAGGCGCCTGACCGACTCACACCACGAGGAGCCGAACGACTCATACCACGACGCGGGCCTCGAACGACTCACACCACGAGGAGCCCGAACGAGTCACACCAGGAGGAGGGGCCCGAACGACTCACACCAGGACGAGGGGCCCGAACAACTCACACCACGAGAAGCCCGAACGACTCACACCAGAACGAACAGCCCGAACGACTCACACCACGAAGAGCCTGAACGACGCACACCAGGAAGAAGGGCCCGAACGACTCAGACCAGGACGAGAAACCCCAAACGACTCAAACCACGAGGAGCGCTTTCTCTCCCTCCTCCTTCGCCTCGTCCTTCTCCCGCTCCCCCCACAAGGAGGATGTACAAGGAGGCGGGAGGAAGGAGGAACAGGGGAGATATGCGGGGCCAAGCGGACACACGCCTGAAAAACACGACTGTCGGCATGCTTCGCGAGAGTTGCTGCTGTGAGATGGGCTGGTGGGGATGCGCGAAGCGTAAAGAATTTTCTGCAGGATCCTGCACGCAAGCCTGGGTCAACGCACCCCTGGCTCTGCAGGATCCTACAAGATTCGGCGCTCTGGCTGACCCCCGTTTGCATTGGCCCCTGTCTCAGGGCTCCCAGCGCTAGTCCAGGCACCCCGTCCTGGTCCCCCCTCTCGACCTCATCGCTGCTGCGTCTACTCCTCCATCCACCACCTCCTCCTCCGCGTGCTCCCCCTCCCTGAGCATCCTCCTCCTGCTCCTGCTCGTGCGCCTCATCCTCCATGGGGCTACGGCAAGAGAGTACGCGCGAAAGTAGATCGGAGAAACAGCAGGGAAGACAACGGACGGCAAAGAAGGCAGGCAGCAAATAAGCACAAGAAACGTAAGGTAGAGAAGCGAGGAAACCAGAGCAAACGCGAGGACGAGACGCGAACCCCCATGACAAGAGTCGTTGGTCCGCCACCTCACGCCGCCTCTGGGAGCGTGGCCGGGCTACGATACTGGCTACTGGCAGCAAGCTGCGTGCGCCGCAGGCCCGCGAAGCTGCCGTGCCAGGTGCACACCGAGGCACGAGGAGCGATTACCCGTGGGGCGTCATGAGGAGCACAGTCTTCAGGGGCCTCAACAGGCGCGAGGAATTCTCGAGGGCCCTGCGGGATTCACGCCTGGGGGATGTTGAGGCCCTCGCCGCGTGGGCCTCAAAACGGCCTCAAGGCGGGCACGAGATCCTCGCGAATCAGGTCTCGGGGACGTCGACGCCCTATCCGCGAGGGCACCAGCTTGGCCTCAGCACTCTCGGGGCCTGTGCGACAATCCCGTCTGGGGGATGACCTGCGGCCTTGCCGGGAGGGCGTCAACATGGCCTCGACGCGACCTCACCGTGCATCCCGAAATCTCCGAGGACCGTGCGGGAATCGCTTCTGGGGGAGGCTGGAGCCGTCGCAACGAGAGCGTCAACGTGGGCCAAAACCCTCGAACACTGTACGGGAATCGCGTCTGCGGGATGAAGCCGTGACCGTGAACGCCTCAACGCGGACCAATGGGGCCGAAACCCTTCAGTGCACATCGAAGCCTTGACCTGCGTGCCTTGACATAGAATCGACGCGGCCACGACGCGGGCCAAAATCCCCTGGGTAACGGCAACGTGCGCATGACTGCCCAATGCCGGAATAAAAGCAGCTGTGCTACCCGTGCGTT